TTGAAGAGCGCTGTCAGAATAGTGACTGCCATGAGTCTCCCATAGCCAGACAATGATCTAGCTTGTATAATCAGCCAGGGGATGAAAGGGCTCTCGACCTCATCTGATGAGTTGTCTAAACCCGACTCCAAGACAGCAGGAGAGACAAGCCTAAGGCCGGGCGTTTGGCTTGGAGTTCGAGATTCAGGGCGGTCTGGTGTATTAGTGGAAGAATGGTGATGAGACTGAGGCGGACTGCGAGCGTTGGAAGAAGGAGGAGGAACCTGAGGCAGCAAGTAATCCATGACCGTCGAGCCTTGGATTTTGGCGCCGCTCAGATTGCTGGCTTCAACGGCGATGGAAGGGAAAACAGCGAGGATGGCGGGAGAGTTGATGAGCCGAGTTGCTCTGTATTTTGACTCTCCAAGAATGGCTGCGACCGCCGCAAGCACGGGACCAATTTGTGTTCCATGAGGAGCTTCTTTAGGGAAAGCCTCATATAACCCATCGCTGTAAGCCTGTGCCTCAGCTCCTGGAACAACATGGCCTTGGCTGACGGCGAAGCTGGCCAAGCGCGACGCGAGCATATCCAAGACACCAGACTGGATCAGAGCCTGCTGGTGTCGTTCCTCTGTGCAAATGCGAGATATCAAGCTGGCCACAAGCTCAACCTGGGTCTGCTGCAAGCGGCTTGATGACGTAGAAGCAAGTATGAGACATAGAGATTCGAGATGATACGGCGACATGAATATTGCGTCGGCAAGAGCAAGGCTATCGAGTTCTGATGACGGGGATGCCAGAGCAGCTGCATCTGCAATGCCGCTAACGGCCTTGAGAGCGGCAACGACGATTTGCGGCGGGTTGGCATTGGGAGATGTGCATGCGAGGATGGCTGGAAGAGCCCGGGAGGCGTGGACGGACGGTAGAAAGGGAGGGCCACCTGTAAATAAAGTAGTATCACACGTCAGTATCGGCTGTTTAAGTGGAGGGGGATCGAGCAAAGGTGCAGGGGTCTTGCAGGAGTTGACGTGACGGATCTCGGGATGCATACCCTTGGCGAAGCTTGTGATGATCTGCAGGGCTTGCAGCCTCACATTATCTTCCTCTGACAGAGGCCGGCGACTCGACACCTGTGGCCTAGCATCTTTGCTTGTGCTCGACTTGGCCGCAGGACGAGCCGAGGTCAAGGTCCTTATAACGGGCTCCAGCACACCCAGGCTGACCCACGTCTCCTTCTTCTGGTGGTGTCCGATGATCTCATTCTTCAGAGCTTGTAGAGCTGTCGACTGCTCGGGGCACGTTTTGGCGTTTCGCAGCTGAGCTAGGATCGGGGAGTTCTGGGGTCGCGCCATGGGAATGGGAGTGCCGGATACACAAGCGGGTAGCAGTGGGATCTATAGCGGAGAATGCCGAGAGGAGCAGAGCGCCGGGATCTCGTCTGGTGTCGACTGGAGAGACTGAGTCAAGATTGGCGATTATGCTTTGCGTGCAGAGCTGCGCATGAGCTGTCGGAGCAGACTATGATGCCGATACAATCGATCAAAGCAAGAGAATCCCGAACCAGCTCCGGCGAATTCGGCTGGCAGAGCTTCGTGAAGCCAAGTAAGACGTGGGCGCAAGCAAGCAAAGAAATACACAAGAATCGTGGCAATGATGCGTCCGGAGCAACAGATGACAAGCGCGTAAGTAGATGATCGGAATAGCGATGACGGCGCAGAGGCGTAAGTAAATTGGCGATGTCAATCCATGGATACACCTATTCAATGTCGTTGATACGGCGTCTCTGGTGTCTTGCAGTCTGACGAGATGTCACGCCAAGGCAAGTCCGATGCCGTGGCACGTGCATTATGTTATCTTATCGGATCTCTGCTAACCTACTTTCTTAGATGTCTCCATAAAATGGCGAGATTTGCCGGCTACCGCTTGTGGCCAATTAGTGACGAAAGCGGAGAGGAGGTTCGCTATTAGGTAAGTTGGAAAATGGTAGTGGAAGAGTTCTAGAAGAGTTGGTTACACGGGGTAATGGGTTTTAATATCTTGTGAAGGATTGGCGGCCACCACGGCCATCACGGCCAATTATCTTGAGATAAGCCAAGAGCTTTGATGTGCCTGTTAAGAACTCAAACTCATGGTTGGCTATGACATCTGCCGGCCTGTATTCAAGAAGTAGGTACACATGAGATCTCCAGGCTTTGGGTCAAAGGTCCACGAATGCGTGCATGTACCCATAGAACTTGGCAACTGCTCCGTTACCTACTAGAACTTACACTCCATCGAAGACTGACTGCAAACATCTCCCTACAATTGCAGTTTCACCAACGACTGTTACATCTACAGTTATCGGTGTTGTTTGAGCATATCGATATCAAGCATCGACAATGAATGGTGCACTGCGCTTGATTGGGCAAGGCTTTCCTGACGCAATCAGAAATACCGCGGACCATCCGCTCCCGTCTGCCGGCATCGAACTCCGGAACGAGAAGCTCGCCTCAGTTCTTGTGCGGCATTTTCCCTCTTCCGCCTCAACCACCAGCCGTTATCGTCAACTGCGTTTAGTATAAATACTGCGGCGAAAGTCTGTAAGTTTTCATAAAGCTAGATATCAAAGGACCAAGCGAGCTTTCACACGTGAGAGCTATCGGGACACGCAACCCTGGACCCTGGTCCCTGGTCCGCATGTTAGTGCTCCATACAAACACGCCGGCAAAACGAAACATGATCTGGTCCGAACGGTGGCAGTGGCAGTGCCAGCAATAATAAGGGGAGACGTTATCCAGCACCCCAATTCTGTTATCCAACCCTCCAGCTTAGGCGTGGGCTGCTGCCAGTATTATTGCTATTGCTACTGCTACTACTGCTACTACTGCTACTACTGCTACTACTGCTACTACTGCTACTACTGCTACTACTGCTACTACTGCTACTACTGCTACTACTGCTACTACTGCTACTACTGCTACTACTACTGTTACTGCTGCTACTGCTACTGCTACTGCTACTACTGCTTTTACTGCTGCTATTACTGCTATTATTAAAAATAGGATTTAGCAGTTATGCACATGTATCTTAATATATGGAATAGCTGCCTTGTAACGCTACAGCTGGGGTGTTGGATAATGAGATTGGGGTGCTGAATAACGTCTCCCGTGATAAGCAGCGTAGCACGGTAGCACCAGTAGGGCAGAGAGCTCTCTGTTTCCCCCCTGCTACATAGTTCTTGCAGCCGCTACAAATCATAAACGAAAACTCCCGCTGATATAAGACATGTCTGAAATCCGTGTCTTGGACTCGGGCCACTGCCGCTAACGAATCACCGGGCTTCTTTGCACCACGAGCTGGCAACAACAGGTGCTCGTTGAGCCACGACCCTGCAGCACGCAAACGACAACTCATCTCTTTTTGTGCTTTGATCCCGCAAGATGCCCCTCGCTGGCGTGGTCTGGGGTCAGTCTGGGGTACTGTAATTGCTGCTACTGTAGTAGTTTCGTCTAACAATAGGTAGCCTGTAGTACCTTAGTGGTGGCATCTACATGATGGTTTGTACCTGGTACCAGATAAACATCGTGATAAAGCCCACAGTGATTAGACGAGAGGCGCCTTCTGACATCCGGACCGGCGTACTTGTACAAGCGATGCGGGACGCACGCGAGTCAAAAGGTGCGGTCAGACTAAGAAATAGCAGAGAGACGGAGAGGGAGCGAGGTTGTCAGGTAAATGTCTGGTTGTTATTACATAGTTGAATATTCTACTTTGACGTTATAAGAGAATTGGTTGGGATGCACGGGTTTGCTGTTTGCTCTATACGCTGTTTTCTATAAGTTAATGACAGTCGACGACACCGAATCAATTCCGTTTTCGGAAAGCAAAGAGATTTTTCTCGCAGTGAGTTTCGCGACTCTGCTCCACCGGCGCCAAGTTCGTAGTACCGATACTTCTGGGTCCCAGCCAAGGATGAGCCGCTGAATTACTCGGACAGGCCGATTAGGTCAATACCTTTGTAGCATTGCATGCTCCATCGTACTTTTTAGTTTTGGTTTTAGGTCTCAGAGAAGCAGTTCTCCGAAAAAGAGGGACAAACTGGTTAGCAATTTTTTTCTTCCCTCTCTTTTTCGCTTTTGCCTTGTCTTTCTCTCTCTCTCTTTTCTACCCTTTTCATGCCAGAACAGCCACCAGCGTTCCGGTCCCGCCCCCAAGTATCCCGGTCGGAATACTGCTAGAATATTGACCAATCACCGCGGCGAGGTTCCGATCCCGAGTGCTGTTGCAGGATTTTTGATGATGGGGATCCGTCTCACTGCTGCTGAATCTGCGTATACAAGTACATATACCGGCGAGACGGTGCTGCTACAAGTGGCACAACTTGATTGAACGGAACACCTCTTATAACAGCCTGGAAAGCAAACGAACGTCAATACGTACCCCCTCTCGCGGTGGCATTCAGCAAGTCTACAGTGCGATAAAACAACACTTGAGAAGCAAACAGCACTGGACACTTGCAATTCGAAGCGGCTCTGCTGGCCCCCAATCCCACTCATTTCTCCCGAGGGTACAAAGTATCGCTACTTACCCGCTAATCACCCCCTCCGTCTTTTCGCCCTGCGTCCGTCCCGCCGCCGGCCGATTCACGCCATTCGCTGGATCGCCCTTTTAGACCTGCGACTATTACTATAAAATCTTCCTGGCTCGGTGCTTCGGTGAGCCTTTTGGGTTCGCTCCAAAAAAAAAAGTCGAGATCTGGCTGTTGCACGTTCTTCACGATTGCGTCTCACTGCATTTCGCCAGCAAGCCGCTGCCCGGCTGCCTACCGCCGGCTGTTCCGATTTAGGACGGCTGGTGACCTTTTTTCTTGATATCGGATCCCGCCAGTCGAACGTCCTGGTCGCCGCTTCTCCCTCGATCGCCAGCATCGCAGCGGCAGTCCAGAAATTGGAGGCGAAATACAGAACGGACAGAACAACCGCCACAAAACCGCACCAACGACCAGAGCACCGCCGCGCCCCGATGATGCGCCGTAGGAGACCATGCTGAAGACGTCCCCCATTCTCTCTCCCTCCGCCAACGCCTCGCCCGCCGGCTTCCGCAATGCGCCGTCGAGATCCTCGCAGGAGTCTGCCTCGTCCCACCCGTCGCAGCTCCCAGCCGTGAGCCCCCGGCCCGCCTATCTGCGCCGCCGACTGTCGACAGAGTCCGAGGCCGTGTCCGTGTCGGCATCCTCGTCAGCGCTGTCGCCAGGCCGCTCACGCCGTACCGGGGCCTCGACCAGCGATATGCGGTCCCCTGCCCGCGCCTTTTCCTCCTCCTCTGCCTCGCCGCTGGCAGCTCCCACGACTACAACCACCAAGACGACCGTGACGACCTCTACGAACATGGGCATCGACGACTCTGAGAGCCCGAGCCGAACCTCGCCCGCCCAAACTCGGCTGTACAATGCTTTGTCGCCTAATAAGCGTCGACTTGCCGCCACCGCTGAAGCTTCTTCTTCTCTGGATGCATCTTCAACGCCTGCTGCCGTTGCTTCGAGCTCCGATGCGGCTCAGGCTCAGGCCGAGGCCCAGGCCCAACGATCTGCATCTCCTCAAGCACCGAAACGAGCCAGACCCGAGGAACAGCCTCCCCGTGTTTTGCCCAACAAATATGAGTTTTGCCCGGTCGAGCACATGGTCGAGCTGATTGCACATATGCTGGGAGAGCTGATTGCCACCAATGACGCAATTCGCATTTCAAGCGGTGGCCTCACACGGTTTCACTCGAGGTATGTAGAAGTTCGGGGATTTTCCCATCATTCTTTTTTTGTCTGTGCGTGTCTAACCTGTTGCTCAGAACCCCCCCTGGCATCTCTGTTAGAGACTATCTCCATCGGCTGGCTAGACATGCCACGCTCACGCCACCGCTTCTTTTGGCCATGGTCTACTACATTGACCGACTCTGCGCTCTTTACCCGGAATTCACCATCAACACCCTCACCGTTCACCGCTTCCTAATTACCGCTGCCACAGTTGCTGCAAAGGGCCTTTCTGACTCGTTTTGGAACAATACGACCTACGCGCGAGTAGGCGGTGTGCGTGTGGCTGAACTGCGATTACTTGAGCTCGAATTCCTCTACCGAGTGGATTGGAGAATCGTGCCGAATCCAGAAATCTTGGTGGCTTACTATCAGGGACTTGTCCAGAGGGCTCCGGGATATGAACTGGAGTCTGATGGATCGAGCGATGATGACGACGACGAGATTGACGACGATGACAACGAAGAAGATACTGCTCAGCAGTAAGAGCGGCAGAGGGGATTGACGAACACGCATTCTGAAACCTCCCTCTAGTCGAGCTGGGCCGATGTCGAGAAGCGGCTTATATCAATGATACCCACCTTTTTCACCACTGCACCTTGATTTTTTTCTGTGTTCACTTACTTTATTCTCTTTCTCTTTTTCTCTCGCCAACCGTCATCTCATTGGCCTCTTTTGCTGCTTCATGACATGCATCTCGGGTCACACAACTCATATCTCCTTGCATAAACTTGTGGAGTCAAAGTTTATAGGAAGTGAAAAGGGCTTTATCTTTTGCAGTCTCTGATTTTAACACTTTGTTAACATACATATACACGTGTAACTCGGATTCATTGTTCGGAGCATGGTTGGTGGGAAGGGGGGAACCACGGTGGAGAAAGGGAATTGGCGTTTTATGGGTGTTGTAAACGGAGCATTTTTTTTTTTTTTGTTACTCTTGCATATTGGATACGGGGCGAGGTTTTCGTAGAGTTCGAGGTGAAGATAATGCATGTGTATGTATATATGAATTGAATATTACATTTTCTGTGTAATATTGACGTGTGCCGGCAGTGAGGTCTGGCGGCACAATGGCACTGACCCAAGTGCCTTCTAAGCTTTCTACATCTTCCAGCGTCACGATCGTCATCAATCCATTGCAAATGTTTTCGTCTATCCATTTATATCCCCATATGCTCCCACACAAATGTCGAAGCCTTGTGCTGGCGGCGCATTGTGAGACCTAAAAGAGCAAAGAAAGGAACGGAGTATGGAAAGGGGAGGCGAGGAAAAGAAGAAGCCCTCGGATGGACAGGGTCTAATCCGTACACTTCAGTGATATCTAGAGAGGATGTTGGATCCGTAAAAGAAAAAGAATCGAGAATCCTAAAATAAAATAAAAATAAAAATAAAAAGAGAGAGAGAGAGAGCGAGAGATACCTATACATAAGAGGAAAAGGACGATAAACCCTACCAATGTAGAGGGACCAAGAAATCCTCTAGTAGACTCTAACATAAATAGTCTAATCATAGCATAGAAAAGGCGTAAGAGGTCGCTGCTGAGCTGCTGAGCTGCTGAGCTGCAACGATAGCTTTGAGATTTTACGTATTTGACTACCTAGGTAGGTATATGCAGGCTGAAGAGTTGCCTACACGTAGCCCAGCCAGCGGCATGGCGAATGAGCTGCGAAAGTCCGCATATTCGGCTGAGCTAGAGATTCCATGCTACCTAGCCCAATCGCCGCCGTGCCCTACGACGATTGGGTCCGGGTATAGGTCCAGGGAGACTTAAATCCTCTGAACCTTGCTGATCTTGGCGCGTGGCTAGATAGAGAATTGTAGCCGTCGTAGATAGTGGGAGGAACAGGATGGCTTCTGCAAGGCTTGTTTGCAGCGCAATCATAAATGATAGCCATACCTGTAGAGGGTATAGAAGAACTCGGGGGCGATTCCTGGATATTTTGCAGTTACGGTCAGGTATATGTATAGCTACACTACATGGTCAAAACAATGTTTGTACTTACTGTATAAGAAGCCTGTTGTGGAAAAAGACGAGTGGAGTTCCAGTTAGACCCCAAAAGAGCAGCATCCTATTTCAGAGATAAGCAGTTTTCCTTTTTTTCTTTCTTGGAGACAGTGCAGGAAAGGCAAAATTAAAAGGAGAAGAGAAGAATAGAAGAATAAAGAGAGTACGGGGCGAAGAAGAAGGAGAGAAGGAAAGCGAGGAAGATAGGGCCACCCACCCAAGTGTTATCGTCGGGGCCCAAGAAAACTTCTCTTGCTGGCTTCCCGACAGAAGAATCAACAGCGAAAAGCAAAGATTAGCTTGTAAGAGCCATCTTTGCATTGTAGATGATGAAATAAACACCATCCGCCGAGTGAGCCACGAATAGCAAGCCAGAGTGGATATTCTGCTGGTGAGAGCTGCAAAGCCACCCCGATATCTCCCAACGAAACGATGTCCGGGTATACAAGAAAAAGATTGACCTCACGGGAGAGTCAGATGGCCAGATACCATAGAGCCTTAAGAAGGGTCCTTGGGTTCCAGAGAAGTCTTTGGTTTAACAAAGGTCCTCAGCACGAGAGAGATCCACGGCGGAAGGGTTAACGAAGAGACACCATAAATGGTAGATATTTTGGTTGAGTTTTTGGTTGATGGAGAGAAAAGGCGAAATGCATGAGGCGAAAAAAACAGCAGCTAGTTGATTCGAAGACTGTATTTTGCATACAATGGCTATAAGCCAGCCGAATCCTTGAGTAGTAAACGGCCGCAAAACAAAATGTAATAGGAGCAACTCGTTGGCAGCAAATTTCAGCGAAACGGTCAGACGGTGAAAGAGCAGAGGTTTGGAGGTTCAAGGATTAGAAGAAATTGCGACAACTCCGTGGATGTAGTAACCTCAACCATACATTAAGAGGGAGAGACCCTTCAGCATAAGGGAATGCACTCGGGCTGCGCCCCATGGTGAGTTTTCCTATAACAATCGTCATCTAAGACGCTGTACGCCTATCGGTTGTAAATTTCATTTTAGCGTCATTACGTTTGCCAGCGCATGCATTAATACAAGCAACGTGTCGGCCAATATGATGCAAGCGCCTTCAAAACATCCCTCGCAGGTGAGTGGAGGCGTCCAATCGGACTGTGAGTACTCCGCCAGGCATTGTCGTCGACCTACCGTTATCAGCCCTCAGAATAATGAATTTCAGAATTAAGTAAACCGGAGGCCTCTCCGACTGTGTTACATTGCATATATGACAATTGGCTGTGAAAGCGTGGCTGACAGCGATTGGCTGCTGATAGTCTTCGGTGAGTCAGGCTGCGAAATCGACCTCGATCTATAAAGACGAGAAAGTAGGCAAGATAACACAACACGATCAACACATCTTCTGACGCCCTCAGTATCTTCAAAACTTAACATAGTTCAGCAACAGAAATTGTTCATCTAGCTGCTGTCTCGTCTAATGCAAATGCGAACATATTCCTCTGAATGCTGGCCAAAAATGACGAGTTTGCTGTTCAAATTGCACATGCTGCCAGTGCGGAATGGGAGATTGAGCCCGACGCAACTCCCGAAAATGCGGCTCAATATAAGATTGTTACGGCGTGTTTTACCACGACGGTGTTAAATATCCTCACTACTTGGTTCGAAAAGGAGCCTGGCAATACACGTTGGAAGACATCTCCTGTAAGCCAGACAAATCCATATACCTATGTTATACAAGTTATTTCATTTAACAAAGAGACTACAGATATGCGATGGTTGGGGATTACAAGAGCGTGTACGCTTAGTTATTCCCACAGGAGAGCATAACCTATGTGAAATATGTCTTCTCGCGGTCGCAGTCTTGACTTGTTTGCACTGGAGCTGCGTCTTTAGTCTTTTTTGCCAGCGCCGGTGGCAGGACAATTTTTTACCCGGAACTATCGTCGCTACATTTGTCACACTTCTTCCTATCGCAACGTTCGTTCAAGATCAGACTTGGGTATTTCTTGGGGTTTTGCCAATAGTAATCGATGTCTTTATTGCAGCTTGTGCTGTCATCGATTACATCGACCAAAAAAGGTTTTTTCCGAAGGCCTCGGACACCAACATCATCTGATTTCATGGAGCAGGAGGACATACTGCCAAATATCTACCAGAACTTTTGTTAGGGCACTGTTACATTTCTTTGTCGTCTCTAGGTGCTAATCTTCAACCATTCGTTTACTAGTGTTGATGGGTCTTTTTTTTCTCTTATCATTTCTATTCCCCTCGCCCCTCTCGATGGGGTGCGATGGGCTGTGATGGGCTTCGATAGCTGCTGCTGGTTCAGTAAGGTCTGAAAGCTGGGGTATTAAGATAGATATCTTATTTTAGCAGTTGGATGGAAATGGTCTTAAATAGTAACATGAGTATTACTAAATACTCGGGGTCGCCGCTGCCGGCCTCGGTGCCCTATATCTAGATAGGTAGGTAGTTCTTATATTGGAAGCTATTCGGCTTTGGCTACAACTGGACATCGATCATTTTCTCATGCATTCAGTTGAAACTCCCTTCCTCTCTCTCTCTCTCTTTACCGCCTCCATCCCTTCACTTACGAGTTGAAAAAATTGCAAAGTGTAACTTTGACACTTTAGAGGCTGGCAGCCCATGTTCAAATGTAGAGTCTGCCTAATGCATCCCCAACACTCAAAGGCGTGACGAAATAGATCTACGAGGCAGACATTCGCAAGCATCTCAGATCGAACGGGATGACCTTGATCAATTCGATCAATTTGATCAAGGTCATCCCGTTCAATCAAGGCCATCCTGTTCAATCAATTTTATCAAGGTCATCTGGCTTGTAAGTTGCCCTACTGCCTAAAAAAATAGGGAGACGTTATTCAGCACCCCAATCTCATTATCCAATACCCCAGCTGTAATGCAATAAGGCGGCCATTCCACATATTAAACTATATATACACAACTGCCAAATACTATTAATATATTAAAAATAGCAGCAGTAATACTAGTAGCAGTAGTAGCACTAGCAGCAATAGTAATAGTAGCAGCAGTAGCAATAATAGTAACAGTAATAGCAGTAGCAGTAGCAGTAGCAGTAGCAGTAGCAGTAGCAGTAGCAGTAGCAGTAGCAGTAGCAGTAGCAGTAGCAGTAGCAGTAGCAGTAGCAGTAGCAGTAGCAGTAGCAGTAGCAGTAGTAGCAGCAGTAGCAATAATAGTAGCAGTAGTACCAGTACCAGTACCAGTAGCAGCAGTAGTAGCAGTAGCATAGTATTTATAAGCAGTAGTAGCTGTAGTACTAGCAGTAATAGTAATTATAATACTAGCAGCAGCTTACGCTTAAGATGGAGGGCTGGATAATAGAATTGAGGTGCTAAATAACCTCTCTTAAAAAGAAAGGCATTTTACCCTTATAGCCTTCTATAAAGCGCTATGATAAGAAAAAAACTGTAAATATACTGTAAACATACTGTATATATACTGATTGTTTCTTTAATCTCGATTTATTTAATATAAAGAAAATTAGAATTTTTGCACTCTTGCACACCTATCTAAGGTGTCACCGTACCCAATGGCTATTATTTATGCTGACCGTATTCACTTTACGTCGTGTCACCACATTTGACATCACATCTGTAGTCATGCTAGTATCTACTGAAGTGTAACGTAATCGAATTATTGACACGCTATTCATACTCCGTGCTGAATACAGAATAATAATCCTTCATGGGTTATGTACTCAAAAAGCTATATACAGTTTAAAGTCTTTCATGTACTTTTGCAAATTCTTAATAGCAGAGGGAAAATGTAAACAGCCGGCCATGTTATGAGGTGCAGAAGTGAGCTGCGTATCCGTCATTTGATGTAAAAAAAAAAAAAAAGTCAATAGCTTGTAATCCAGACGTCGTGAAAAAGATATCAGGATTTCTCTTGGAATTCTGAAGTCGGTGTTGAAAGAAAAAGAAACGTTCTTGATCTTTATGGTTTGTGATGCATCTTTGTGCAGAAAGGATGCGCTGAATCACAGCAGCGCTATGCTATACAGTATTCGTAAAGGTGATGATTTTGAATCATCATGTTCTTTCATTTGACGACGTGTAGTCTATTAAAAGTAGATCATATTATTGCCACGGAACATAGAGGTATTAAGCGCTGGTAGACACATCGTCGTGGAGATATTGCGGCTCGACCGTAGAGAAGGCATGTGACATGTGATGACGCGGCTTCCAGTTGTTCAAGGACATGTCAAGCTGGTTACAGGTGTCCTGGTATCGTAACTTGAAAAAAAGTACGCGGTGCCAATCTTCGGAGGCAAACAAATGGCAAGGGCCTCCAGGAAGGGTCATCACCGGTGCGTTCACTGGTGTTTCTCCTGTGGCTGTGATGTAGTGTAGAGCCAGCTCAGAGTTGAACCAAAGCGTTTTAGACGAGCTAGCCACAGATGTAGTTCGAAAGAGGATTAAAGCAGCGAGGCTAACTCCGACATCTTCTCATCGTCGTCAACAGCGTACTGCCATCAAAGTGACCACCTTGAAACCACTCGAGTTGATAATAGGCTACGCAAAGCATAGTCCTCTGGGAATGATTGAGACTTCGCTTCATTCCATCACCACAGTGTAATCGATTTGCTAACGAGATTAATTCAGTCAGTCAACGCCAGTAAGGCTGGGTGTTCTGCCAGCATGGCCCAACCAACTGCGATGCTAGCTCGAACATAGATGTAAGTCGCTAGGACCAGTGTATCGGATTGACGACTGTATGGGATTGTCTGGTGACATGAGGAAAGCGCTCATAAGGACAAGGTATAAAGTGCGACAAATCTTCGGATCTTCATATCGTTCGTACGCATTGTCCAAGAGAGCGGCGAGCTGTGGCTAAAGGTGGAGCAGCTAGTAGGTTGGCTGCAAGCCGAATACTATGAGAGTCGCCCATAACTCCGTTTGATCCAATAGCGAAACGGACGCCTAAATCATAAGACCATATGATAGGTGAACATGCCGTAGTCAGGCGACTATGCTATCGATATTAATGACTGTTATAGAGCGTGTATAGAGTACTCCTTAATACTGTTTCAAGTACGTGTAATACTGGAGGCCATGCGCGTTTATAAAGCGGCGTCGGGCAGCCTAAACTGGTAACAAGCGGTCGCAGTAATTCAGAAGATTGACGACGACCGTATCTGTTGGATACGTATCTTAGGTAGTGAGGTTGACAGACTAGGCGCCTTTTCTGTAATAGAATAGCTGCTGCATAGCATTCGGCCGCGCCTGTATAGCGAGGTGGTGGTAAAGGCGGCCCACGGATGGAGGCCTTGTAATACCAATTTCGAGAGCCGACGGCCTAGGCTTTTCGTCAACAAAGAGCATCATGCTCAGCCGCCGTATAGTACCATAGTCACGAGATGGGTCACGAGATGTATGACCGGAACTCTCGGTCTCGAATATCGTCGTCCTCAATCGCCATCCTGTAACTACCTAGGTCTCCTAGGCACTCAATCCATGCGTCTTCAAGAGCTGGAACGGTCTCATATAAGAGAGCCATCATAGTATGGGCAAGATAAATGAAGACAAGCATATGCTCAACGTATTAAGGCATGTTATGGCGGACCAGCTCAAAGAACGTATGTATGCCGTGGCGCCACATGCGAGCTGGCATTGCATACTTCTATGCTAGGCGCCGCAGTGCGGGGTTTGCTGAAGAATGCTGGCTTGCGAGAAGAAAGTCATGGTGCTCGTGGAGAAGAGTGCTCTGCAGCGCAATTAGACTGTGCATATTGCTGTTATATGGAGCAACCTTCGACTCGTTATGCGAGGCTTGTTCTTTGTCAACTTCTATACACTTGGTTTCAACCATAACAAACCCGGCATATATGCCCTTAACCAGAGAGTTGGTCATATTTTGGGTGAATTGAAGCGGACATTCGCTCCGTATCAACTGTTGGTGTGCGATTTTGGCGATTTTATCACCATGATAACGGTGAGTTTCATCTGTATAGTAGTTGTAGAGATATAAGAACTCTTGGTGCTTCAAAAACTTTGGCCGCTTGGTGGGAGGGTGGCTCGGGGGTGCCGGTGGTATCGTAGGCTCCGCGGCCCAGGAACTGGAATGGGAAGCTGTAAATTGTCGAGGGCTTGGTTGCCCCGCGGTGCTGCCAGGTACCTATATTATGGCGGCTGTGATTGAGAGAGGCAAAAGCAGGATGGCTTCTGCAAGCGACGGCTGTAATACCATCAAAAATGGTAACCACACTTGCAAGGTCAAATAAATCACCAGCCGAGGATTTCTGCAGTACAAATTAGGCAATCTATCGCTATTTTCCGTTATATGAACAGTAATATCCACACAGGCAAACTCACCCTAAGAGATACCGCTTGTGAAGAAAAGCGAGACAAACTCCAGTTATACCCCACGCGGCCAGTATTCTATTTATTGCATAGAAATCAGAAAGGTGATGAAGTCAGAAGAAACGAGGCGATGAAAACTTACGCAAATGTCGCCGCCGGCGCCCAGGAAAGGTATTTTTGTTGGCTTCCTGGTAGGAGGACCAACGCCGAAAGAGAGATATTGATCTGCAATAACCATTGTTTAAAGACCATCGCAGATACTGGTCAAGCTATCTTGTTTGGCTGCTCCTGTGAAGAAGATCGAAGACTGGTGATCAAAGAAAGTTACAACAGATGAGGAGGTTGAAGGGATATCACAAAGGCGATGCAGAATATGCTACTTTCGACACAAACAAATGATGGTATGTGAAGCACCACGAACCCAAAAGATGAAACCTAATACGCGAGGTAGCTCAGAGAAAATATGAATAAGAGTATTGATAAAAAGATGCAAGTAGAGAAGCGAGGCCAGACGGAAGATGGAAGACGCTCTTGCGGGTACATGTATGAAGAAGGTTTTGAAAATGGGTGGACGTGAAAAAGAAAAGGAGACGTTGATAACGAGAGATAGAAAACGGGTCAAGTATCGAGATGACTTCTTGCCCGTTGCCAGCTTAAAGCCCGAGAGCGGAGAGAGGGGGGAGGGGTGGTGTCTTGAGGGCGGTGTCTTGTAGTCGGGTGTCTGGCGGGCTTGTCCATGGCGGGTTGGAGGGCGAGTTGGATGGGGGTTATCCCAAAGCAGTTCGTCTCGCATTACTTTCCCAGCCTCCTGAAATAAGTTGGACACCCCCTTGATGAAGTAAGTTGGAAACAAACAAGCATGGTACGCGGTCAAGATGTAATGGAGCAAAGGGTGTAAGGCAACTAGACGTAGCGTGGTGGCTGAGACCTCAGGATGATCGCCTCACTCCCATGGCCGGCTTGGTTGGCTCTGAATCCTACAGGAAATGAGGGGTATTCCGGCAAGGCCCCCAAACAATCTTGCACTTGTTTTGTATTCGTATGGAGGCCTGGTGATTAAGAAAATACGTTAGCCTCTTCTTTTTCTTCTTTGCGACACTCAATGTACATTACCAAAGTTTCGTACGATATATCTTCCATCATCTTTCAATGAGAAAAAAGACTCCAGCCTTAGTATTAAGCCTACCTCCGATACGTTTTTGAGGCCTATGTTTGAACGCCATGAGACAGACATCTCGTACCCAGCGGCCACAGAGCAAAAACAGAGGGCGCCAGAAGTTCATGCAACAGTTGAGCATACGACAGACGACGAGAATCGCAAACATTATATATACCACACCGTGGCTGCTTGGGGGTTAACAGCGACTCTGAACATCATCCCAGAGCAAGTCAGGAGAGGATCTGAGATTGGGGGATGTTGGAATATATATCCAGTAGGAACAGGCGCTTCCAACCATTTCCACCTCTGTGAGCTAAGATGACGATAGATATGTGACGCCGTTGCGCTGCGGAATCAAAAGCACTTGCTTTGGTTCGGAAATCGAGGGCATCCCTGCGAGATTTTCCTGATACTGGTCGTGACAACAACGCTCATTCACTGGTACTGCGTGCTCCGTCTTTTCAGCCAGCCAGAATGGAGGAACAAATACTTGTCGCAGACTATGATGGCAACATTCATCACTCTTATAGCTTTGGGGGGAATCATTCAAGACTCGGCCACAGTCTTTCTTCGCGTTTTGCCCGCCGTCATAGACGTGTACGCCTCAACATGCCTTGCTCGGGATTATTTGGATGGGGGGTCATAAGGAATATTGGAGACCTTGGCAGTTTCTCAAGAAAGGCAGAGGCTGCGCAGCGAGGCGACTCCTCTTTTCGCAAGTTTCGTGTTGTTTCGTTTTCACTTAATTTTCCATATATGCGGATATATATCGTGGTTTTGTTTGTATCGTCGCCATAGCTGATTGAAATAAGTAGCTAATGGACCAGATAATGTACTTTTCATCAATATTATTATACCATCATCATCATATATTTGCCATGCACCAGGCTGCGCAAGTAACTTATTTCCCTTCATTGGTTTGTCATCTTGTCCAACTGCGGATAAGTTCGCGCCAGCTGCTTTGGTACAACGATAGCACTTCCGAGCGAGGGTATGCAGATATGATCCTTACGATCATCTCTCTATAGAAGAGAGGCGAGTTGGAATCAGACTCCCCAACCTTAGACCAGCGCTTGCTAGCCACAAATCAGCTCCAAATCAAGCGACTTTACGGATCATGGAGCGCATTTCTGTTGACGACGACACTTGTTGGCCACAGAATCATCTCGGCAGTCCAGGCGTAGGGGGGGGCCGATGTCTCTCTACGGTGCAGAATGTCGCGATCTTGCTTACTCAGTGGGCGATGTAATACCAACTGCTGTATTCCAACCAAGATTCAGCCCACGAATCTGCAGAAAGCCTTCCCATATATGCAGGGCCGGTTAGGGTGAATCCTGGGGGCGCTCATTGCAGCCTGATAGAGCAACCCATGAACATGGTGCAACGAGATGGCAGTGATGGCACACCTGTTAGAACGCATTATTGGCTCTAGGCCAAGCCATTTTGGCCGCGAACGCAAGCTGAAAGGGGCGTGTGCATGCAGCCACTTGGCAGGATGAGGAGAAGAGGCCGGGGGCCATTACCCCATGATCATAACTAGAGGGATATCCCATGTTTTTGAGGCGGTAAACACGGGATGCCGACCGCCTTGCTGGCTGATGGCTGGGATGCTGGGGCAAATCGTGATGCGTCCTTCTCGTGGTTGTGTGCTTGTAGCTGTTGAGCCAGCCTTGAACAGCTTAGGGTCGTTCTATTGGCGTACCATTTTCGCTACTAGCACGGAAGGGGTTTCGTACAACTGGTTGCCTTCTTTGTCACATGCTGGAACCTCATTGTTGGGACAAAGATTACATGTAGCAAAGAAAACAATCTTCTTTGGCCGGTCCGTACTGCTTCGTAGGGTGGAATCGCATTCTAGGCCTACCTTAGATGCTATATGACGTCCCAATGCTGGGACCGCGGCACGTGCTGGAGAAGCCCACCATTCTCCATCTGCCAGGTACCTCGCCGCATTCGGTACTGAGCGAGGTACCTACTAGTACCTTACCTTGCAAAGCTCCACTGCGGCGTTACCTTATCGCAATCAAGGCCAGCTAATGACATTGTGCGGTCCCTGACCAGACCTCAGCTTGAGCTCCAGCAATCCGATCTCTCCGCCATTCGCTTCAAGTTGCAACTCATCCGTGCAGATATCATGCGCGGCATAGCTTTCTTGTCGGCCTTGTGCGCCGCGGCCCTTGTCCAAGCCAACTTCCACACCGCACACATCTACGTCCAGCCCGTCGAAAACTCCGAGTCGCCGACCCTCCTTGCAGAGCTCGCATACGATCCCAGCATCACCACGTCCTCCTCAATCATCTCCTACGAAGCTCCTGAAATTCCAGAGTCGACACAGCTGGTCCGCGTAGGGCTGTACGACCCAAAGTCTTCGCGCTGGATATCTGGCACGACTGTTGCTTCGGTAGACAACTTTGGCAAGGGCTTCTCTCCCAATTTGATACTGTCCATCGATGAGAATGGAGAGGTGTTGAGTGCCTCCCTGAAGGGAGTAAGGATCGATGCGGGCCAGACGAGAGATTTTGGGCCGCAGGCTGTGGTGCTGCCGGCGCTCAAGGGCAAGCAACCGGAGCTTAACAAGCCAGTCGTCCTGTCACCAGAGGGCAAGAAGGTTGAGGAAGAGGAGAAGACATTCCTACAAAAGTACGTTGTATTTCCCATCCCTGGAGCGGCTTATGAGTCTAACCCAGCACAGGTATTGGTGGATGATTGGTATTGTGGTGTTCCTAGCTATGAGTGGAGGAGGAGGCGAGAAATAGAGTCGCCAATTAACGCGTCTACTAGATCGAGCAATGAAATCTCGGTTGCAGAGCATTGACTAAAACTGTGCTCCTGTGAACTATTATCGTTATGTCGGGGACGTTGTCCCTATATGTCGACGCCTAAAGCACCCAAAGTTAACACAGTAGTATTGTGTTTGTCGTATCCATCGCCTCCTTACCTACCTAGTAGATGCTAGAATTCTCCGTAGTGATATTATATTTCGTAATGCATTCACTCTCCAGCCACCCAGCAGCAATTGCCCTGCCTACCTACCCACTCCGTGCCTATATCACCCATGTCTTTCTGCCCAGCAACCTCAGATCTTGATCCAGATACATGCACGTGACTGGTGGATACAAACAACATCAATGGCTGCTAGTGCTGAAATGGAGTAGTCTGATTACTACGCACTCAGATGCGCCTCTCCATTGGTTGGCGCCTTGATCCAAAAAATAGCTTGGAGCAGAACCCGGTCCACTTCAGGTTTACTCTCTCCTACTTATACTCACCAAGGCACTCACCGTTCACCCTGCTCATACCAATTCGTCACACAGCCATTTCCCAAGCTTCTTTCTTACCAAGACACTCTCACAGACTTACCTGTGCTCAAAATGTCTGACGGAACTGGTGTCACCAACCCTCACACTGAGGATTCCTTTGCTGAGAGCAAGGGCAAGGGAAAGGCTACTCAGGATGATGCTCCCCACCCCATCGCCATGGATGAGGACGACGACGACGACGAGGATGATGATGAGGATGAGCTTGAAGAGGATGTAAGTTGATGAACCATCCAAGCCTCTACCATTGACGTTTGCATTATCAGACAGCTAACATAACACGCTTGGGCAGAATGCTGAACCAGGTAAACATCTACCACCTCTCTACTATTTCCACCCCAAGGAAGATTTGACTGTCTAACCCTTTTACGCAGATGAGGATGGCTTAGAGGAGATTGATCTGAACAACATTGTTGAGGGCGGACGTCGCACTCGCGGTGCCCAGATTGACTACGCCAGGGCTGCTGAGCAGACTCCCATGGACGACGATGAGGACGAGGAAGACGACGACGACTTCCAGCCTCCCAACGAGGACACCGAGATGGAGGGTTAAGCTATCATCCCTCCAAATTTTCTGGCTCAGTCGAGTCGTCATTCGGTCTATGATTTTATGTTTATGGATTCACCAGGATTTTTCACCGCGCAGGTAGGCGGGGAGCCCAGAGCGGGATTGATCTGGGTATTTTAAGCTGGGGGCATGTAACAATGATAGGCCGCTATTTGCTACATATTTGGGACGTGTTATATACCATGCGGTGTTTGAGGGAACGGAGATAGGTAGCTGAAATTGCACGCACATGCTGCCACTGAAGCCATCAACAGTCTGCTGGCATTTCGCGTTCCTGGAGCCTTGTCCTGTGCAGCAGCCCGCCATTCCCCACACTCGAGAAATTGTGGCCCACCAGTGCTTTAAGCTTCATGTCACCTTGTCTTTGTTCAGGCTCTGGCACATACCCTGGAGATGCAGCTGAACAGGCGGGAATTCGGCAAGAATGTAGCTTTTAGGCAAAAAACTGTTTTGCATAGCCAAGTGTCAAGAATATTCTCTTCGTTGGGTGTTCTCAGATTCATCCCCGCGGATATAAAATGTCTTTCCCAACTCAAGCCACGTAAAGCGCTGGTTGAGCCGCCACCACAGTGGCTTGGGTACGTACCTTCCCCAAAAAATCACTAACGCCACTCTTCGTGGACATGGATCAAGACCACCTAAGCCATAAAAAACGACTGCATATAACATTTAACTTCTTCCAAGGGGCATTTAATTTTTCAACAGGAGTGACGATCATATTGCCCACTTCATTCTCTTCGTATAACCCCCTTTCTATACACTGATTGCTTTTCCCACTGCGGTTGCGTGAACTCTACGTATATCACTATCATGTCGCAAAGGTAAGTTGTCATTGATTCAACCTACCCTATTCGAATATCTTGTCGCGGAGGCAACTTTTCCACGATGCGCGCGCTCGACGACTGCCCCCTGCTGTCCCTTCCAAGACAATCTACGGATCCAGATCATCCAGCTAATCAATCTACCATGGCAAATCATAGATTCGGTGCCTCGTCTCTCCACCAGCGCGACTCGCGCAGCGCCCTCTTCGCGGGCTATACGGGCGATCAATCCCAGCGAGGACGACCCAGCCCGTCTCCCTCTCCCAGCGCCGGCATAGGGGGAGGATACGGCTACAACAGCTACTCCCCTTCAAATGGAAACTCCTACGGCGGCACGCCCTCGAGCGCATACCGAACCGCGACGCCGAACAAGAAGGGGCAGTACAGCGACGCGGTGCTGAACGAGCTGGAGAGCCAGAACGATGAGCAGGTGGCGGGCATTCTGGGCAAAGTCAAAGTCCTCAAGGATGTAAGTCAGACTATGACACTATCCTTTTCTGCATCTTTATTTCACAGCGCCTTTGCGCGCTCAGGACAAGAGAACAGAGAGGGGACAAGAGATAAGGGGCCATTGCTAACGTATCGGGGCTTGCGCCAAACGATAGATGACCGCCGCAATCGGTGACGAAATCCGCGAGTCGTCCGCCCTTGCCGAGAAGATGAACGACACCTTTGACTCGACGCGCGTGCGCCTCCGCGGCACCATGAACCGCATGCTCATCATGGCGCAGCGCAGCGGCGTCAGCTGGAAGTGGTGGCTGCTCTTCTTCTTTGCCGTTGCCGCGCTGTTTATATATGTCTGGCTATTCTAAGCAAACGGATTTCGAATGTTTACGAGGGAGGCACGATAAAAAGGAATATTCTCCTATCCTCCGCCGTACAACATGCTTTTTTCTTTCTTTTGTTTCCCATACGGATTTCACGCGATAGCGATGACGTTTCTGTCTTAGCCCCCGTGGCTACGAGCAGAAAATAGTGCATATTTTCTGCTCTTCTTCTTTTTGGCTTTCTGGCAGACAATGTTTTACAAAGGAGCATCTTGGGCAGGCGTTTGTTTGGGGGAATTTTTGCTGCTGTTTCTGACTATCCTTTCTCTCTCTCTCTCACTCACTCACAAAGGAGTACAATGAGCTGCATGGTTTGAACGGGGGGAGGTCTTGACTGTGACATAAAAGCGAGTGGATTTTGTTTTTTGATACAGATTAAGAGCTATCTATATAAACCATTTTAATATCATCAAGAAGCTTACTACGAGGCTGCTATTATTCATCATATATTGATTCACTTTTTTTCCCATCAATGCTGATGTTTCATCCATTTGTATGAACTAATTGGAACATACATCGTAATAATCGCACTTGCTGAAGATTTAGTCAATTTCCTTGTGCGACAAGAATATAAAAGTTCCATAAAACAGGGGTATCTAAGCTATGTTTTCCTACCTACAACATACAATAAAACCAAATAACAACAGTAATAACGGTAACAACAACAAACATCTCATTTCCGCTGGCCTTGCCTTCGTCCCCTCGCTGCAGGGCTGCTCGCCATCGGCGTCATAAAGCTGCTCTCGTCCTGCAACAGCAGACTGCTCAGATCCATGCTCGCACGGGACCTTCTATGAGAACCCTGCCTTGTGTGAGACCCCGCTTGGCGAGGCAGCGTAGGAGATCCAGGGGTCTCAAGGAGCGTGGAGCGCGCCGGCACAAAGCTGAGGTCGGTGGAATTGCCCTCCTCTTCCTCGTTTTCTTCTCCATAATGAGCGCTGCTGCTGACGTCGGCTTCGGAGTCTGTATGCTCGTACCCGCCGTCATCTGCTTCGGGGATATCGTCATCAAGATCAGCGTCCATGTCGCCCGCCATTCCCTCGTCCAAGGTGCCGTCGTGCGCAAAGTCGTCCTCCTCGAGTATTTGGCTCCTGCTCTCGTCGTCTTCTTCTTCTGCGCCGCCGTATATGCTGCCGTCGGCTTCGGGATCGCCGCGGACGAGGGCTTCCCGGAAGGCGTCGTCTGTCATCCTCATACGTGCAGCTTCCAGCTCGTACACTGTTTCCTGCCGTACGGTATCTTCGTAGACCTCTTGTTCGTCCAACGCCTGTTCGTAGTACTCTTCGTCATCAACATCCTCGCCATCGTCGTCATCATTTTCCTCGCTGTCGTCGCTGCTTGGGTTAAAAGCATCGTCTGCATCCGGAATGTCATCGTCTAAATCTTGCGCTCCATCCAGCTGCACGTCATCCATCATGCCTTCGTCCATTGTGCCGCCACCTTCCGCCTCTGCTAGTTCCTGAGCAAGTTGCTCTCGTCTCATAGCTTCTTGGTGTTCCTCTTGTTCGCGCTTCTCCTCTCGCATCTGGTGCAGAGTCTTGGGCACTCCAGGAGGCTTCAGCCAGGTGCTTCCAAAGTTCTGTACATTCATCCGACGACGGTGCATTTTTTGTTCGTCCGTAGCGAGGCGCGCGAGGAGTGTTCGCTCCATGAGCTGCCCGCGCTGGCGTGAATGCGCTGGGCCATGGTGACCGCTGTTCGGATCCGCATGTAGGTGATCGACTGGCCCTGGAGGAATGAAGGGATTCCTAGAGGATGAGTACCACAGAGAGTGCGACTACCACGATACAATTGACAGTCAGCGCACAGATTTGGTGTATTGGAATGATGACCAAAATATCCTTACATCTCGCGGTGTAAAATCTGGCAGTGTTGTAAACATTGAGGTGCATCAGAACGCAAATCCCGACAAGTTATCAATGCTGAGTCTAGGATCGTGAAGTTGAGCATTGTTGATAAATACGTGCCGTGATAGGCTTAGCCCCGCAGCGCGCTTGTAGCGTCTAAAGCGTAAGCGCGCTCTAAGGGCAGTTACAGACAGTATGCTCGAAGCCACTACGAATCATCTTATCCATAGGTAGGTATGCCAACCCAACGGATAGTTCTTTGATGAGGCTGCGAAAAAATTGTTCGGTTAAATTGCTACTGAATGCTTCTGATATGCTTCTGGAAACTAGCTGTTCAGACTTTACAATACGGCTTTGCTTCGCCTATGCCGATGGGAGAAGCGCTGTCAAGCAGGGAGTAGGTATTGCCATTCCCTCGGTATATAGAGTGCTGTTACTTGAGAATGAACTTGAAAGACAATCGGACAAAGCAATGGGCTGTTTCATCTGTTTTCTGTTTGTCCTCTTCTCGGCGCTTTTCAGACAAAGAGTCATAGAATAGCCCTCATCCCTCAGAGTGGATATCGGGAGAATTCGGGATGACCAGCGGACCCCCATCCTCATTTTTCCTGCTGTGGAAAGTCGCAAAATGGGGGCCCTCGTTTGTAACTCCGCCTTCGGTGAACCACCAAGCATTCTGACGGAGCTCAGGCCGTGAAAGGCGGAATTTCGCCGGGAAAATGCGAGCAACAGCGACGGGCAAGGCAGATGGATTTATAATAGGAAACGGCGGACTAATAACCTCTCCGAAAACACTGATACACGAGGCCTAGCCTGTTGCCCTAATTCCTTTGGATCAGTATAATCGTAGAATAAATTCCCAGAAGCTCCTTTTTCGGCGACTTAGACAGTCGTACGACAAAGCAGCGGGCAAATTACCGCTTCGAGTCAGTTGTAGCTGCTTATATCCTTCGAGAGCTGGTGGCAGGATCAGCACCTATACGCAGCTTGCAACAGCAGCCACGATGACCGACTTCGGTGGTGGGCATTCTTCACCAACGTTCCATTCTCAGTTTTGCTGCTGCCGCAAAGAGACTTCTCCGCGTTGATATTTATAAGAATTCAAAAGGCGCCTGCACACTTGTGATGGAGTTGACCAGTGATCTGGGATAAAGGCCACACCACACACCCCCCCAAGCCCCGCCATCTGGTTCGGGAAAATAGGCCCTGGTTGATTAGGGACTAGATGACGGAAAAAATGGCACTAGCACGAGTAGACGCCGTTGCATTTTACCCTGAGAAACGAGTTTATGATGCACGTAAAGAGTGGGTTTTGACCTGGTTAAGATGACACGTTCTGGATTACAGAACATCCAAATATTACCTTTGTCGGAAGTGGCTGGCTTAATCGTGAGCAGGTAGCCATAGCAGCGGTTGGTGGCATAACTGAGATGTTAACCATATCCTTAGTACGGCTGTTTGCATTGTCTGGCGGTGTCCGCTGTGGCTGGAGTTGGAGCCTGCGGTTGAAAGCTTGTCGTCTTCAAACAGAGAGCCTCACAAAAGCACAACTGGTGCACCTTGGGGTACGTGCAAGTGGCAGGACCATCACCTCATTTCGGATGTCACCATGGCTTGTGTGAGTGCAACCATAGAAGTACCCTAGGCTGCCGGCCAGAGCCACTATTGCAAGGTAGCAGCAAACATGTCTCGAAACCAGACCATTTCACTTTTGTGGCGAGGCTCGTATCAGGTTTCGAGTAGCTCCAGGCTATTACTGCCGCTATCTGCAGCGCCAAAGATTCGGGCAACGGGCCGGCAATCTTGGTTGGCCTGAGATAAGGGCGGCAGGCCGGTGGCTGGGATGCTGATTGGCTGCAGGCGCCAGTTTTCTGATGTCGATTTTTTGAGTGAGCACGGCCGAAGTACCACCACCACGCGAAGAAGATGGGTCGACGTTCTTGTCTGCGCTCGCTAGACTGCAAGAATGTCGTAGCAGGCCAAAATGGGGGTGCATCGCAAAGAGTAGGGTCGCCATAATCGAGTCCCTCTGCGACGCTACGCACGCTGGTGCTGCAGGCATCGACGACGCTTGTGCTTCATTGGCTGATGAGGTTTCTTTTCAAGCTGCCGCTCTCCTTTGGACTCTCTGTTCTCAACCATGGCGCCGCTGGCGCGGGCAAAATCCATAAAAGCATCTGCGGCCCAGCACCCCCGGCCAGTGTCTGCATGTCCGCATGCCCAGCCCCGGCTTTGCACCCTCATCTTGTCCATCTTGCAGCCAGAAACTGCAACCGACCTTGCCGTTTAGGCATGTCAAAGCACGGCTGAAGAATTGTGGCACGTGTGGCCATGACGACGTGAGGTATCGCAGGCTGATGGGCGTATGGGGCCAGATTTCTGGGAGGGGTTGCCATTGTCTCAGCACAATCTCGCACCAGTAGAGTAGCCTCGCAATGGTGTTGCTGTCGATAGAAAATTGCAGCGGGTGCTGAAATCGTTTCCTCTGCTGGGTCTCTCTCCGGACACCAAATCTCTCTGTGCCATTTTAGGGTCCCGTCCTGGAAGAGCATGCTTCGTTGGCGTTGAAGCTTGAGCGCGACATCGGCCACGCAGCGACCGGGATTTGGAAAAAGGTCGCTTGTGATTGGCTGCACTGCTAAGCTCCAAGCCGTCAGCCACAGATCCTCGTGTGCATCGGTCGCAGGGTCCCTACCTTGGAGTCTGGGATGATCCTGGCAAGGTAGCAGAGATGCTGTGGGGTTGGCTGCGAAACCCTGCCGCATTCGGACAATATTAGCTCCTCGCTCTCTCGGATTTCTCTTACACAAAGCATGTTGCAAACCGAATTTCTCGACGACTGGATAAGCGTGCTGCTAGCCATCTGGCCATCTAGATAGGCGCTGAGATGAGCGTCAGCTTGCCTGGAGCCAACCAGAGGGCCGGGAATTTAGTCGTCGCATATTACTGTGACAGCAACCCATGAGGCGAAGATTGAAGGGAGGGGCCTGGCTGTGGTCAGCGGTTGTAAGAAGAAGCGACGGGGTTGCAAAGCCGCCTTGGTGCAGCCGAGTACTGTGCTCGCAACTATTGCTCGGGGAAATTACCAGTCCATTTGGACATGCTGGCCTCAACACCGTCTGTTCCGCTAGAAAATTTTCATGATTTTTGCAAGTAATTTGAGGGTAATGCAAATACAGCAGCGAGTTTCATGGGGGTAATAGAAAGGTTTAATGGGGGTAATAATTTGGTTTTTGAGGGTAATCGATAGCCCGATTGGGAAATCACGATAAGTCAGCGATGGAGCTGCCGTTGCCTGAGGCCCTTATTACGTATGGCCACGTTCTAGACGGAGCCTCAGCGACTTCGACGAATTCCGACTGCTAGGAATGCAGTCGGAGAGGATCGGGTTTGGAGCAACAAAGTTGATGCTTAGCAATTGGCTTTGCTGCTCAACCGAGGGCCAATTTTTGCCTCTGTTGCCGCAAGAGGAGGGTGACGTACTCGGCCGAAGATCCATCAGATGCGACACAGCATAAACCAACGTGATATGCTTGTCGTACTACCTCGATACTAGATGCTACTGGAGCTCTTTGTTTGCAAACCCAAGGCTAGCGCGGCCTTGGATGCCAGCTTTAACGGATTGACATCAGCAAGAGACGAGAATGCCTGCACTTGGAGGGGCCTCAGTCTCCGCACATCGGCGCCGTCGTTGTGCTACCGACGAATGAAACCTCCCATCCCGCGTCCCCGTACTCGCTCGACGAATCGAGACACCATGGTATGAAATACAACCAGCACCATCAAAGGGAAATTGCCATTGGCACCCCCCCGGAGCTTGCGGTGTTTTCTGACATGTGCTTTGGAGGGGCAGATCGGCCCGCTTAAAAAGCAATGCCAGTTCGTCGCTGGGAGGCGCCGCGCCAGTCGCAGCGCCGCATTTCAGGCGGTTGGTTCTCAAGCCCCCCACTGTCGGCTGCGACTTGGTGTTTAGTCGTCCGGGCCTATATCACAAAGCGACTAGCATGCCGCTTGACATGTACTACTTGTATTTCTGCTCTGCGGCTGCTGGTATGAAGACTCTAGTCCTTCTGCTCGGACCACTTTCTTGAGATCCATGCCTTGGCAGAGCCAAGTTCTGAGCAATAGACTCGGACAACTGGAGACTCTGGACGCCTCCTCTGTCTATAATAAAGCCTCTCCGCTGCCCATCCTCCCTCCCTCCCCCCTCTCTTCTGCTTTACTTGCTTCACTTTCTCCCTCCCTCTTCTCTTCTACTCTCCCTTGTGGCGTGTTGTTCATACTTGCAGAGCGCAAAGCGTCTCATTGATAATTGATACCACTTGAACTTCATAAGCCGGTAAGTTGTTCGACGCTGATGATGCCTCTTCCCATCTCCCGCCATATAGGTAGTTCTCCAAATCTCCCTCAAGTCCCCTAGTCTCCTTACCCCAAAAGCAAGTGCGAAAATTCCACACACAAGGTTCGCTGCATCTGCCGGCGCCAACTCTACTTCTGCGAGATGGGGAAAATCGGAAAAAGCAGTCGCCCATGTTATCAGGATTCTGGCGGCTTCTGCGGATGGCTCGCAACCCACCAAAATCGATAATAGATGCTGCTTGAACTCAATTGAGGCCGAGAACCACGACTGCCGAAGAGAAAGAGGAGGAGGAAAAGAAGAAGAAGAAGAAGGGGAATTGAGATTGACGCTTGGGTAATTCGAGATGCTTGCGAATTGGAAGACAATGTTTGGACTCCAAAATGCGCCATTTGGCTCTCATTATCGCGCCCACATCCTCAATCCACAACTTCTCTCTTATGAGCTCATCGACTTGGTCTGGCGACTTTCACCCATCTCGCTTCTCCTGGAGTCTTGCGATGCCGCTGGTGGTGCAATATTATGCCCGCAATACAACCAATGCTTTTACCATCCCAATTTCAATCTCAGCAAATAAACGCCAAAAAAAAAAAAAAAAAAAAAATTAAAGATCGCACCCAGCAACCTGGCCTCATTTGCTCTCTGCCGATGACGGTGTCGACTGCGCAAGCAACGCGG